ACTTTGACCATGTAAATGAGACAACGATAAAGCTATTAGATTTTAAGAATATGGCCGAGCAATGTGGTTATGACAAGGAGTAAGTGGTATTTTGGCACAAATATGATTTAGACCTTTATAAGGTTCGATTAGTTGGGAGCAACACTGAAGCTGCTAGAGTTGCTACTTGCATTCCAAAGGAGAGAGTAGTTGAGATATATTTTGAACATTTGAATTTCAATGGTGATAAAAATCAATATCACGAGGAAATGGGAATGAATTCTTTGCCAACAGTTGATGTAGGAGAAAACATTGATGATTCTCATGATGATGATTTTGAAGATTCTGATATACCTTGGAGGATGATGATATATTATTCTCCAAAATTGTTGATCCTTCAGCTGAATCTTTTGGGATCAGTATACATGGAAAAATAAAAAATAAATAATGAAAAACAAGACTATGTAAGTGAAGAGATGCAAAGAAAGATGCAGAATGAGGAAGGTGACTCGGATTGTGTATATTCTGATGATTTAAAAAGTTTGAATAGTGACTGCGATTCTGAAAATGAAGATTGTGACTTCCCCAAACACAACCCAAAAACTAATGCTCTGAATCACAAAATAGTGTTGGGAATGATATTTGGTAACAAAAAAGAGTTTAAGAAAGCTATGATTGCAAATCAAGCCACAATAGAAAAGTCAATCGAGTGGATTAAAGATGACCGAGAAAGAGCTAGGGCTAAATGCAGAAAGCCTGGATGTAAGTGGAAGATATTGGGCTTACTAATGCAAAGGGACACTATATCTTTCCAAATAAAGACGTTTGAGTCCGAACATACTTGTTTTGGATGGAATTACAACAATGAAATTGTCAATGTTAGCTAGATTGCAATGAGGTATGTTGATAGAATTAAATCAAATAAGACTTGAAAAGTACCAGAATTCAGATATACGATGAGTAGAGAATTACAATTGCATGTGAGTATGCATCAAGCAAGCAATGTTTGATGGACATATAAATGATCAGTTTAGTATATTATGGGATTATTGCAATGAAATTGTTAGAAGCAATCCCGGGACTTCTGTTTTCATGAAACTAACTCCAAATGAAACTCCTAACAAGCCGATGAGATTTCAAAAATTTTATGTTTGCTTTGCAGCTTGTAAATCTGGTTTCAAGGCTGGTTGTAGGAAAATTGTTGGGGTCGATGGGTGTTGGCTTAAGGGTACTATGTATGAGGACAATTACGAGTCAATTACTCAAATGGTCACTCAACTATCCCAAATTATCTCCTAAAGTCACTTTACTTTCGTTTATAACAACAAAGTCACTGAACTATGCCTATTGTACTAAGAATGTCACTCAACTAGATTTTCCAATTTTGGATTGCCAAATACCTATTTTACCCTCTAAATTATAAATATTTATCTTCTTAACCTATTTGATGAATGATCTTGAAATTGAAGAGCAATACTTGTGGACTTTTATGTCAGATAAACAAAAAGGATTCCTTGAAGCTTTTGAAATAGTGTTGCCCGATGTTTCTCATAGATTTTGTGTGCGACATTTGCATACCAATTTCAAGAGAGCTGGGTATAATGGCATGGCTTTAAAAAATGCTCTTTGGAAGGCAGCTTCAGCAACAACTATTGACAGGTTTGATGCTTGTATGACTGATTTATTTGAATTGGATAAAATGTATATGAATGACTTTCTACTAAATTGCCTAGTGAATGGTCAAGATCACATTTCTCTTCGCTTCCCAAGTGTGATATTCTGTTGAATAACTTGTGTGAGGTATTTAATAAGTTTATTCTTGATGCGAGAGATAAACCAATTCTAAAACTTTTAGAGACCATTAGGCACTTGCTCATGGCCAGAATTAATTCAAATAGAGAGAAAGCTGAAAAATGGAATTTGGGGGACATATGTCCTACTATCAAGAAGGCGTTGGCCAAAACTATGAAGGATGCTGCTAGTTATATTCCTAAAAAGTCAAACACATGGAATTATGAAGTCATTGGACCTATGGAAGGTGACACATGGGTTGTTGACTTATATAACAAAACATGCGGCCGTAAGAAATGGGAACTTTCAGGAATTCCTTGTAAGCATGCTATATCAGCTATTTGGTTGAAAAAGGATGAGGTTCTAGACTATGTTGATGATTGCTACAAGGTCGAAACATATAGAAAAATTTATGAAGTTTCCATATTGCCTATGAATGGCCCTGATTTATGGCCTAAGTCACAGAATTCTTCACCATTGCCACCTTCTTACTTGAAGAAGAAGAAGAAAGAGAGAAAACAAAAAACTAAGAAGGAAAGAAGAAGATGAGCCGGGAGCTAGTAGGACGAAGTTAAAAAAGAGACAAAAATCAGTTGATTGTAAGAAATGTGGCAGACCTGGCCACAACAGCATAACTTGCACTTCTTCCTTAAATACTGTTGAAATTCATCCATCGGACTACCCTTGTAGTTTGGACTCCATTATGACCGAGGGAGCATCAAGTTCTCATAATATTGAAAAACTACCGGTAAAAGTTTATTTAAATTATTTTCATTATAATTTACAAATACAGAGAGTCATATTTTGCGTTTAACTTATTCTTTCAGGTTAGAAGAGGTACATCGCAGGTTATCCAACAGGTTAGAATTGTGCCTCCTTATTATATTGAAGAAATACTGATATTTTCTTGTCTTTAATTCGTGTTGTTGGTGTTTGGATCTTTTGATTTTCTGATTTCTGTGTTAATATAATGCTGCTGGTTTTATCTTTAATTAATCAATGCTATTGCAGTAAATGGATATTGTTTTTTGCTGATTTCTTGTTGTTCTTTTTTCTGTTTTTCACTTCAGTGTTTAACTTTTAACCTGTCGAACGCCAGTCCATAAATGAAATATCCAAGTACAAACAGAGAAGTGCCTGGAAAAGGAATGTGAGATGGCCAACTTAGAGCCATTTTAATGGTAAAGAAAACTTCTGCCACCAAATTGTTGGCAGCTAGAACCTCCTATGTAATAAAGATAAATAAAAGAGAGAATGCTATGTAAGAAAAGATACCATTATATTTTATTTCTCCAATCTTAGAAATATATTAAAAGAAAATCAGCTGACACATGAAGCATACGCTTCAGCCAAAACAATTGGGCATCTACCAACAACAACCAAAACTGGAAACTACATACAAGAACAATAGTTCATCTACAATCATGTCACAAAACTTTATCAACTATCTTGTGCTGTTAGTTAAGCTTGTTAACTTTAAAGAAACAGAATGAACTGAACAATAGTCAACCACTTTTCCTGGGAGTGCTTTAAATTTTGCTTCGTGATCAACCACTTTTTTCGAGAGTTCTTGAATCACATGAAGGATCTTACATTAGATTCCACGATTGCTGCAAAAAACAAAAAAAGAAGAAGTACATATCTCCGCGAATGCAATGGCCCTTGATGTAAACTTGTAACTAAACGAACATGCTAATTTTTTTCTTTTGTGCAGAAAATGTAGTTATCTATCGTAACTAACATCTTCGTCTCCAATATTTTTGGGGCATTATGAGTGCAATATTGGAATTACTCTAATTCAGAACGAGAAAAGAAATAAAATTAAAATGTTTCCGGCATTTCATCAAACAGGTAAGGGACACATTGACTTAGCAAACTTGGTTACTTCTAATTGTCCTTTGAAAATGCAGTAATCTCTTTCAAATTAAAATGATGAAGAAATCCTTACAGTGAGAAGCCAGATACATTAAGAATGAAGAAATTTAGTTTAAGAAATATCAAAAATCGAAATACAATTGGAAAATCTCTAACTTTTCCGGTGGTTATTGATTCTTTACCTTGTTTGAGGTGTGGAAAAATAGCTCTAACTTCTCTTTTTGCTCAGGTTTGAAGTCTTTTTTGGCGAAGGTGAAAGACGATCGGGCGGGAGGGACAATCTTGGAAAATTCAGGGGAAAAGGCATGTGCTGGGCATGCTCGTTCATTGCTACCGTTATTTTTTGTGATTAAATTTAACAGAAGAATGTTTCTTGCAGCTCTTTAAATAGTACAGGATAATTTTTGTTCACCAGGTAATACAAGGACTTGGTCTAGGACTATAGTTTAAGGATAATTTTTACAAAACTCAATGAACTTTGTAAGAAAAGATGGTAGATCTTATGAGGGTTGGTTTGGATAATTATATTTGAGTTCCAGTTTTAAAATTTAGCCAGATGAAGGCAAACTTCAGACCGCGTGCTTGTCCTCCTTATTCTTCACAACAACGTAGATAAAAATAATTATTCTTTTTCTCCGTAACAACAAAGACAAGAAGAATTATTACCTGGATTCCCTTTATAGGTATATATAACAAATTCCATAACAACATAGATAAGAAAAATTATAATCTGGCTTCTTTTATATCTATATGCCAAAAGAAAAATTGGGTTCTTGGAATGAAAAATTTGTTACATCCTAAAACCCTGAATATCAGGAATCTAAAATTTAAATCAGAAGTTTGAACTTCAGACCTTTAAAACGGCTATTTGTGCACTTCTTCCGTCTTTAAGCCCTTCTTTTGAATTGAATTTGTAACTTAAGGCTGAAGCTGATAAAATGGATTGGGCTATTAGTAAATGAAACCCGAAATAACATCCATTTTAGCATTATTATTATTATTAAAACAAATTCTATGACATTTTCCCCACCTTGATAAATGAAAATTGCTTCAAAGATTTCCTGAACAAATGGATTTGTTGTAATGGCAGGCACATAGGAACTATTCTATTGGATGCTTCCAAATCTCTTGGAAAATTTTAAAATATAACTTGGAAAGTTCTGACATTAATGTCTAAACCTGGTGTTAGAAAAAAAATTGTAAATTGTTTGCAGCATATATAATTGTCACAGTATTTTCAAGAGAAGGTTTAAATAGGGATCTTTACACAAATACCTGTTATATCTAGAAAATATGTTGTGTAATATTTCTTTTATACACGAGAGAAATAGATTCTTAAAAGCACATTATATAATATGCTATAGAAATTGTAACACAGTTTTCCTTTAAAATAGATGTTCTTTAATATAGTGCGTCCGTTAAAGCAACAATAGGGCTGAAATTTGCTCTCCACTACATTGTCTTCTTCATCTCACTGCTTCCTATCTTCCAAGATCCTCTTCTTTTTCACTAAATACTCTAAGCCATGAATCCGTCAAACCCAAACCCAGATTCCACGCACTCTTCAGATCTCCCAGATTCACCAGACATGCAAGTAGATCTGCCAACTCACACTCCACAAAAATCCTCCTTTCTCCAAACCTTACTCACAAATTCACCACATGATTTGTTACCCCCTCACATTCAACCCACCCCACTTGATCTCGACTTGATCGATGAATCAGACAACCCAGATGAATCAGCTGATTTCATCCCACTCTCTGCGGATGACAAGGCTAGGCTATATTCCTCTTGGAAATTCTCCATTATCATTAAGCTATTTGGAAAGTCCATTGGGCATCAGTTGCTAAAAGCTAAATTACAATCTCTGTGGAAACCAACTGAACTATTGCATCTGATTGATCTAGGCTCTGCTTTTTTTCTCATTAAATTCACACAGAAAAACAACATGCTGCATGCTTTACACGATGGACCATGGTTTATCCTGGGCCACTTTTTATCTGTGCGTCGATGGGAGCCTAAATTTGTCGCATCAACTGCTCAACTTACGTACTCTGCTATATGGGCTCGACTGCCAGAATTGCCCACTGAATATTATGATCTAACAATTCTACAAAAAGTTGGCAATAAATTGGAGCAATTATTAAAAATAGATACTTGTACCTCCTCTGTTGTCAGAGGACGATATGCCCGAATTTCTATTGAAGTCCCACTCGAAAAGCCTTTGAAAATCCATATTTATATAGACAGCCACAAACGAGTTATTCTCTATGAGGGATTAAATATACTCTGCATTAAATGTGGGTGCTTTGGCCACAATGCACGAGTTTGTCCCAACCACGTTCTCAGTATTACACTAGATAATCCTACTACCTCTTCCACCTCCCACACCACAGATTCTTCGCCCAAATCCACCCAACCACCCACAACAGATTCGCCATGGAAAATAGTGAAATTCCCTCGAAGAACAAAAAAACACACCACAATCATAGACAAAACACCGGTAGCTGATCAATAATTCCCACACTCCTCCAAGAAACAGCAAGCTTCTGGCGAAAGTGTCGCCCACTCCAATATCGTAGAGGCAAACACGCGTGGCTCAGGTAAGTCCGCTAACCTCCCCCACTAATCACCGCCTCTTCTAATCCCTGTTTCTTTAATTCTAATACTCTCTATATACTCCATATTAATGAGGCATTAACAGAAATAAATCACCTCCATAATTTATCTATTAATACTCCTACTCCTCTACAAAATACCTCTTCTAATTTAATTAAAAATACTCCTAAGGCTACTTCAGACACTGCCCCTATCCATCAAACCTAAAACCTTATTGGGCTGGCCCAATCTCCAACCCCACCTAACCCAATAACTAATTCGGCCCCTTCCAGCACTAACCGACCAAACTCATCCTCTATTACCCACAACCCATATCACACCCCTCAAACTATTGAAACGCCTCCACATGACAACCGTTGTTCCAACCAACCCCCATTAAACACGTCTCTCTCTATAAATCCTAATGATTTCACACCAGCAGTAAAATCTAAATTACTAACTCCTCTCAAGTTAATTCCATGCACTCTTCAACTTGCCCCTCCTTTTTAAATTCAAAAACACGTCACTTCCCCTGCTGACTCATCCTGCCCACCCCTGCTACTCACACCTATATAGCCGATACACACAACCAATTACCACGTATCCCTTTAATAGATAATCATACAGAATACTTCAAACCATACACTATCAAAAACTAGCACCTATGGACAATCTCCCACCCACTTACCCGCCACCGTATGTTACCCAAGTGAACCCAGGCCTTCCACCACAGTCATGGCTGGAACAGGGTCTCCAAGGTCAAGCTCTCCTATTTCGTCTCTCAATCAACGATCATGAGGTAATACTAGTCTTACAAAATCCATCTTACCTAGCAGAGATAGTTTCGGAGGGAATGCGTCTGGGGATGGATGCATTTGGACGCTCCCACTGGGCAATGAATTCTCCACCTCCTCATACCCTTCTTCCGCTGCTGGAAATCCCTTTCTACCACCCTCTACTCTTAGGACAAATATTCACACCCTGGACCCCTTATCAGAATCTGACATTCCAATCGAATTCTTGCCTCCAACACCCAACCTCACGACCCCTCTATTACTCCCTCCCAGTCCAGCAACTCCACTGCACCATTACCACTAGAACTAGACATTGCAGCATAACAACAAGACTTAGCAGCAACTCTAATGGAACTGCGAGAAACGAGAACCTCCCAAGCAACACTAGACACTCTTCAAAGCTTTGTTATAAATGAGCCATATGCAAAAAAAATTCGTCTCAAATGTCTCAAACACATGATCGAATGTTCCCTTACTATATGCCTCACTCTGAATCCGGCCATAGGGAAATACTCGATAGTTCTTATACCCACTTTCCTGCCAAAGACAACCCATCCGCAGAGCTGGCCAATACCTTTCCTTCAGGATGTAGTCAACCAAGCTCCCCCTGAATCTTCAGAGGACCCTACCCCAACACAAGCATAGATGAATTTTATGCTTTGGAATTGTCGTGGGGCAAATAACAATGATTTTCGTCGTAATTTTCGCTCATTATTGGACTATCATGGCCCGACTTTAGTTGTCTTGTTTGAAACTCATATGCATGATCATACTGTGTTACGTGATGATTTCAATTTCACTAACTTTTATGAATTTCCGGCTACGGGTCAAGCAGGAGGCATTGTGCTCCTCTGGCACGATGATTTACTAGCTGTTGAAAACCTTACTATGACTGAACAAGAGGTACATGTCATGATCCAGGTATTTCCTAACCCTGAAAATGGCTTTTTTCAGCAATTTATGCTAGTCCACACTATCACACACGACAATTATTGTGGCGTAATCTCATGTATTTAGCTGATACTTATAAAGGTCCTTGGCTCGTTGGGGGAGATTTCAATGAAATCTTACGCTCTACAGAAAAATTTGGGGGCCGCCAAATTAGTAATCCTCGTTCAAATAGGTTTGCTAATTGTTTAAATTATTGTTATTTAGTTGATCTTGGCTACACTGGTAGCAAATATACGTGGACAAATAAGCGTCACTGTGGTAGCAATATCTTAGAGAGACTCGACAGAATACTTCCTACTTATGATTGGTTAACTCTATTTCCTGAAGCTTCTGTTCGCCACTTACCCCGCACACATTCCGACCTCAATCCTCTACTTCTCAATTTCCACTCCCCGCACACACCAATAAATAAACCATTTCATTTTGAAACTATCTGGACCTCTCACCCTGACTTTATCCATATTCTTCGTAATAGTTGGTGTGAGCACGTGATTTTTGCCCTATGAGAACTACTCCCAAATTCAAAATAAAATGGTTTTGTATTGTTGGTGATTTATTTGTATTTTGTCTGTGCATGTTTATTTCTTGTTTTAATTAATTAAAAATACCAAAAATACATTTTGCATGCATATTTAGGATTTAATTGTGCATTTTTGAGTTAATTGAACCATGTCCTATCTTAAAGAATGAAAATCACAAAATATGGATTTTGGTAGCTTTGTCATTTTATTGTTTAATTGTGTGATTTTATTTTTGTTTGATCTTGTGTGTTAATTGTTGTTAAGGGTTAATTAATATCGTTTCAAAATAATCTTGGTTTTACAATTTAATTTAGGAATTTTGGTTTTTAGGAATTAAAAGAAAATGAAAGGGAAAAAGAAAAGAGTGAAATCGGATTGGGCCATTATTTTGGACAAAACAAAATCGGGCCCAAATTTCACCCCAAACCCGGTCCAGGCAGCTCCTCTCGCAGGATGGTGAAACGACGTAGTATAGGTACCAAGCTACGTCGTCTCAATGGCAAAAAATCCCAGCCATCCAATCAAGACATATCCAACGGTCACAGATCAATGCCCACATCCAAGGACCAAGCCCGACCCGTTACTCGGTTCAAACCGACCTCCTACTTAAACCAAACAATGTCGTATGGGTTAATCTCCTTGATCCTGGCCATTGATCATGCTTGATCCAACGACCAGGATTAAAACACCCCCTCCGTATAAGTCCAATCCCTTACCCCACGCCCCAAAGCCATACCCCCCCTCACCTCTTCGTCTCTGAGCTTCAGAGACCAAATAGATCCGCCGCCTTCAACCACCGTGCTCCGCCCACCGGAAATCGCCTCACGGCGGTTCCGGTGGTCCAAATGACCTTATCTTTTCACCACTGATTCCCCTCGACCTCCCCATTCCGAATCCCTAACTCTTATCCCTTGAATCCCAGCCGTGTGCTTCGAATGTTAGATCGAAAGTCAAGCTGGAACCCTATCTCCTCCAATTTCACACCACAACTTCCCCAAGACTTCCTCGTTCCAATCCCGCTCTTAGTTTTCTTCGAATCACCCCCGAGCTCCTCGAATCTTAGATCAAAGGAATCAACCCAAACCCTAATCCGTTCAAATGCCACCAAACTCACACCCTGTGATCTCCTGGACCCCCTCACCATGAATCCCTGATCAACTCTTTTCAAATCATCGTGGGGTAGCTCGGATTCCAGATCGAAGTTAGGCAGGCCAGGTTCCATGAATTTCGAGCCAGAGACTGACTTTGGCCATGTTGTTTTCCTTCGAAAACACATGGTTAAAGTCCGTCTTGGCTTGAAAATGGGAAGAGCCTCGAGTTTTTTTTTATCGAGTTGTGATTCGGGTAAGTCTTTTACATCCAGTTTGATTGTCACTCTTGCAGTTCCGTTTACTTTGTCCTTCCCCTTCTATAAACTGGCATGAATCTCCCGTTTGAGTTATGATCAGTAGTCTAAGGTCCAAGCTTGGGCCAGTTTGCGAGTTTGTGTCTGTTTATTTTCATTAGTCTAAGGTCCAAACGGGTTGAATTTGTGTCTGCTTAGTTTGATCAAGTTCAAGGTACTAATTATGTTGTCATGGTGATCCCTTAATCAGCAATGTTAGCCTATACAATAACCTAATGACTTAGGAAATGGTTCATGATTGTCTGAGCCTAAACTCGTGTTATTAATTAGGTTTCATTTCATGACACTTGCTTTGCCTCATCTCTAATTGCAGTCACATGTTGATAGTAGTTGGGTTTAGCCAAATTGTTGTGAATTAAAACCTATTTTATAGTGTGTGATTCCCCTTGCTTGCAATTCATGCTGTTGATTACTTGTCTAGTTGGTTATCAGGGAGTCTATTAGTTTTTCAAATCTGAAGTTTTGTCCAGTTGGGTTAGGAGTCAGTTGTTAGGAATTTGATAGTTTGAATTGGTTATAGCTGTTAGGGGTTGTTACCAATTAAAGGGATTGGGTAGGACAGTAATTTCAGGGGCTTTAGGAGGGTAATTTGGGGTTTAAAAGGTCTGAAAATGGCTTAAGATGAGTGGGCTGACAGTAGGGTACTCAACTGACCATTAAACTAATACTTTGTCTAGTAGTAGTGGCTTGGGAAACATAATAGCATGGGGGATTAATTGAATATTATAAGTTGCCCATGCCTTTGGACACAAGACACTGGATAATGGACTGTAAGGGAATATCATGGGCAGAAAATCTGATAAGGTAGAGGGGGCAGGCCTGCTTTGGGAGGTTATATATAGAGTCATTTTTAGACTGAACTGGTAGTGTTCGTGGCTATTTGAACTCCAAGTCTGATGTTATGCCTGCTGCTTGCTACTACTGATTGCTCCTCCTTCATTGTTTTAAATTCCAGTTTTGAACTAGAATTCAGCTCCTGTATCTATTTGCTTCGAGTCTGTTGGTTCGAGTTAGTGGATAGATCAGTTGACTGCTTAGACTTCAGTCCCTGATTCATTCGTGGGTTTTGGCATTGTTTGAGGTTGTTCTATCAACTCTGTTTGGTTTTTCAAAATTTTCTGGGCGTCCAGCTTGGGTTGACTTGCTGCTGTTTGTGTTGTTGTTGGTATTGCTGGAATTCTACTGGTTCCTTTTAAATCTGTTACTAGGTTATTTCTATTGGTTGTTGTTGTTGCTGGGTTACATACTACTCNCTATTTAATCAATACAACAATCTAATTGTAACATCAATGGCTTGAGTTTAGGATTAGGAATAGACATCTAAATTACCTCTTTTTAACTATTGCTCTTCTAAAACCTGTAGTAATATACTTAATTAGATATAATCATTTCACCTTTCCGCGTAGCAAATTGTTGAATATGTGTAGAATAACTTAAGTAAGTTTCATTAAGTGTTTAGTTCGTTTAAAATCGGAAGAGTGATGTGTTTTGTCGAAAAGAGATCGATTGCCCGTATTTAGGCGGATTGGGCCTCAGCACTTGAATAAGATGGCCCAGGTCCTGTTTTTAACACTACATTTGTTTGGACCTGGGCCCAGGTTGGTGAATAGCCATGCCCGTCTGCGTACTTAGGTTCTGATTTTAAACGGGTGGTGTTCATGACCCAATTATAATAGCTCTTAAACCATATAATTAGCTGGGACTCCTCCTTTTATTTTTAGAAACGAACTAAGTAGAACACTATAGATTACTTTAGGTTTGCCCTTTAAAGATAGTAAAAATGAGATGAGCCTCGCTGAATAAACACATAAATGACGAGGCCCTCACGATTATATATATTAATTACTTAGAACTCGGGATCAGTCGCTTAGCGAATTTCACGGCCTTCTTCCCAAAATAACAACGCGTTAGTCTCTTTAGGCGCGTACTTTAAATAATATTACCTTCTTAAACCCGGGTGCACATTTATGTGACCCAAATTCAAATCTCAACGAAGTCGAAATATGTCGATAATCACGGGTACATTGATTGTGACGTGGTTCGAGATGCATTTCCATGACGTTGCAATTCTCGGTAAAAATAATAATAATAAAAGCGATACACAGTTAAAATTTGCACATAGGTTAAACCTGTATTAAAATCAGATATTTAAGCCAAATATGGCAGTTGAGCGGCCGTACTAGAACCACAGTACTCTGGAATGCCTAACACATTCTCCCGAATTAACAGAATTCCTTACTTGGATTTCTGGTTCGCAGACCGTAATACAGAGTCAATCTTTTCCTCGATTCGGGATTCAACCGGTGACTTGGGACACCATAAATCTCCCAAGTGGCGACTCTGAATTAAATAATAAATCCCATTTATTGTCCTTTAATTGGAAAAACTCCTTCTGCGCCCCTGCGGGCGCATGCCAAAAGGAGGTGTGACAGCTTTGGCGACTCTGCTGGGGAACGAACCCAGAATCTCTGGTTCAGGATTCAGAATTCGAGCTTAGATAAATTGTTGTATTTGGCTTTATCTGATTTTGTTACATGTTTGGGCCTAATGTGCTAAGTGATGCTTTTACCGCTTTGATATTATCTGAACTGTATATAAACTGTGCTGAAACCCTTCTGTTCTTACCTCCGGGGATGTGCTTACTGGTTGAGACTCCCTATTCTGTTAGTGTCATACCCTGAAATAAGAAAGAGGCCGGACAAGTTACTAAGCCGGATGGCCTTTTGGTTCCCGGTACGTAGCCCCCTCCTCGACTCGAGTTGTCTGCTCGGGTACACAGTTTAGAACAAATACCCAGGTTACGAACCTAGAATAACTCAGGTTCATTCTGGATCCCTAGTAGGAACGTTTGTTTGCATCATATGCATTTGACTTTGGAGGTTCAACACAGGGGTTGGGTCTGTCTAGGAAAGGTGTACCAAAAATGAAAATGATCATCCTAATGCATTTTACTTGCTTCTACTTGTGCATTTATTTGCTTCGGACTTGCATGCTGACCGACTTTTGAGGAAAGCGAAATAGCAATATGAGGGTTAAGGAGAGTTAATCGTCTGTTTTGAAAAAAACTAATGTCCAAATAGTGTCGAAACTCTGCCGATTTTTTTTTGAGGAAGTGGAAAAAAGAAAAAAAGAGAAATATGAATTTTATTTGCCAATGAAAAGAGTCTAGTTTTCAAAAAGAAGTTTGTTTTATCGATCCGAACTACGTCGGTTTGATTCCCACCGGATGTGAGATACGTAGGCAACCCTCATCGGGTCCAACTTCCTCTTTTTGCAAAATACCCAGAAAATGTCAAAAAATTTTAAGTTTCGTCATAAATAAGTCGGGTGTCGCCGTTTTTGTCAACATAGCCGAATGTTCCCGAAAGGGACGTCGGAAGGACAACTTTGCATAAACGGCCACTTTTAGTCATTTTTTGGATTTTTGACCGGTTGACTCACCCAGCTTTAAAATCTTCGTTTTCGAAGTGCTGAAAAGCCGTGTGCAGAGCCGGATCTTCCTTTTAATCTGTGAAAAATTAAAAATAGTCAATTTGTTGAGTCAAATAAATTTTATTTTTCGCTTAGTCATCTTAATAAATGTGCAGGATGAACACGATGCAAAATGAACCTTTTTCAATAAGGAC